GGGTCTGAAGCAGCTGTGAGTAGATGATAGATGATTGATCTTGGGCTTGAGATTGGCGACGACCGTTGGCCTTCGATCGCTCTAATATATCTGCTCGGGACTCGGCAGTCCAGTCAGTCACGTTACGGTCTGGTGGAATGAGTGTGGGTGCATTGGTGGGTGCAACGGCCCGGTCGGCATTGTTGGGGACGGGTCGGATGGGTTGGGTGTCGTCCTGTAGATCATGGGGTGTTAAGGCAGGTGGAGGGGAAGACACTGGAATGGGGAACTGGGTTGCAGGTGCAGTAGTGGTTTGGTTTTCCTTCGGCACCCTTAGAAGTGGCGCAGGAGGTTCCCGTGGTAGTTGAACGTTTTCGATCACTTCAACAAGGTGGCGTAATGCTTCTGTCATTGAATCACTGCGGGGAGCAATGGGAGTACGTGGGTTGGGATGGAGTAGGGCATGCTTGATATCTTGTAGGGCTGACATAATGATGGCGTTGGAGGAGCTGTCAGGCATGCGGACTTTTGTGGGGAACCAGGTGACAGTGTCGCAGATGCGAATAGCGCGGGTGTCGTAAATCCAGATGCGGTAGCAACGGTAGGAATCCATGGCAGGACCGACATACCATCCGTCGAGACCATGTGGCGCCCAGGTTTTTCGTGTGCAAGGACGCGACATCCCGGGGGGCCCATTGGCGTTCTGTTGTAGTCGAACTGTCCACAAATTTGAGCGTACGCAGAGAGCTTGGGATTTAGTCGAGAGGCGCCATCAAATTCAATGTGATTTCAGCTTGTGGAAGGATCTGGTCCCACAGGTGGATGGGGAAATCTTTATCAGTGCTACACAGGCCGGCAATGAAGTGGTTTTGGAAGGTGCGGATGGCTCGTTCGGCTGAGTTGCGACGGTGCATTCCAGGAGGAACTAATTGGAAGTCGATTTCAGATGCGTGGAGAAAATTCTTGAGTATGGTGGAACATTCATTGTCAAGTCGTTGCAGTTGTGGTTTGAGCCCTGCTAGGCATAGTCGTTGATGGAGGCGCTGATAGGCTTTGAGGATGGTGGCGGCTTGACGGTTGGGGAATGGCTCGGCAAAAATGTGGTTGCTGTCATAGTCGTAGAGGATCATAATGTAGTTGTTGCCAGTTGATGATGGTGAGACAAATTTTCCGGTTTGATCAGTGTAGACTTGGCCCGTAGCTGCAAAAAATGTAGCATAGCATTGATGTGTGCGTGCAGTCATGGGTTGGTGGATTGGTGTTGTCATTGGGAATGATCGTTGGTGTGGTTTTTGTGGATCGGAGGTTCTGTCTGGTCTGGTCTTGGTGTCCTTTGGCCGTGGCAATAGATTGGGGTGGGTTGCGTCGGAGACCGGCCGTAGTTAATCCTGGAAAGTTTGTCAAGAAGTTATTGCGTAGGGCAAATTCAAGTCTTGAGAGTACTGGAGAGAATAGAGTAGCATGGGCATAGGCGATGAGATCAGCTTCAGTTGGGTCTCCAATTTTGTTAGCGGAGTGGATCTGGGCAGGCCCGGCAGCCTGTGATGGTATGTGCCACAGGTTGCTTGCTGGGTCGCGCTGGCCTTGTAGGACGACTTGATTGGATTGGCTGTCGATGATTTGGACGTCTGCGTTGGTGAAGAGAACTTTGTATCCAGCGTGGCAGAGGCTGGCGACCGAGATCAGTGTGGCAGCAAGGGAAGGGACAATATGGCCTTGTCGTGCGTGAGGGCGAAGCATGGGCAAGTCCAGATCGGCGGTATGGGTTGAGTGAATGATGCTTCGATCGGCTAGTGCCACAGCAATGGGGTTGGTGGCAAGTTGTTTGTTGGTAGTTCGGCTGTTGGTAGCGATGAAGGTGGCAGTGGCTCCGGAGTCGATGATTGCGGGGGGACCAGAAGCTGTTGTAGTAGTTGTAGGGGTGGTAGGTTGACCTAGTGTTTTAGCTACAAGTCTATTAGCTTTCGGCTCCCCCGCGTCCTCAAGTGGAAGCGGGTCGAGTCGCGCCGTCGTTGGTGCTTTGTTGGTAGCGGTTGGTACGGGTGGTGAGTGTATCGAATGAGGTGCTGCCGCCGTATCGGCGGTATATGGTGGCTTGCTTCATATGGCCTTCCGTTGGTTCGGTGCAATTCTTGCTGGTGTGGTTGGCTTTGCCTTTTGTGAGACCATGGGTCCAGCAATATAAGAATTCGGGCTTTGCTTTTTGTTGTTGGGATGGTGGTGTGGCATTAGCATTGTTGCAGCGGTGGCATAGGGGTGGTGGAGTATTCTCGTTGTTGGCTGGGTTGGTATGCTGCGTCAGGACAGGGGTGCCAGTGGCTGTGTATAGGACATGGTTGGCGCCATGGAAGCCAGCTTGCTTCGCAGTTTTGAGACCTTCAAGGCGCGCTTCTTCGTAGAGGAGGAAGTGGGGTTCGAAGTTGGTCCAAGTGTGGTCGGTGAGTGCTTTGGTGTCCCAGGTTAAGATGGCCTGGCCGTAGACTCCAGCTCCTTCAAATGCACTGCGGCACAATGTGACAGTCGCGTCGTCAGAGATGGCAGATCCATTTCTGGTGGCAATGGCGCGGACTTGAGTGACTTTGTTGAAGAAGTGTTCAATAGGTTGGTCCGGATTCCATTTCTCCTTGAGGCGATCACGGTTGGCTTCCAATTCGGCGGGTTTCATGGTGCCGTATTTGGTCTGGAGGTGTG